CAAGTTGCCGCTTGATGGTATGCACGTTAGGTGGAGCGATCCCCCGTGCCTGCCTTCTAACACTACATTGGTGTTATGAGGTTCATTCTTCCCGATTTCAGTGACAACACTACCTGCCTTCTGCTCCGAGTCCCAAAGGAGCCAAACTTCCTCGTAAGTACCTGCAGATGAAGACGAGCCTCCTAACTGACAGGGACCAAAACTGGATGATCAAAAATTACGCATATGAATCCACCTAGTCAGGCTGCTGGCACACATGAAAATCCAGCTAAGGCTCCTGGCCCCCAAATGATTCCCAAACCACCCATGAAAATGTCAACAAAACCCTGTATGCAGAAGGTGCTCATTTTCAAACCTAATCCATTTTGTGAGCACAATTGTCATGTTATTGTTTACAGACAGAGTGTAGGTCACTTGTTTGGCAGCCTCCATGGCACTGGCACATCAACAATGCAGAAAAGCTTTCTGGTCAGCTGTAGAAAACAGCAACGAGGATGACTAAGACACTCCAAAGTCAGAAGATTTCCAGACCTGTATGTGTGATAGCTATACTTTGATATATTGGATGTCCAGACCTAATGCTTGGTGAGACACAGCTTAAATCAAAGGGCATGTCTACAGTGCTCAACACAGACAGAAGTCCCTAACCCATGCTCACTACTGGGTTAAAATAGTGGCTGTAGCTATTCAAAGTGTGTGCCATTATTCAGAGTAAGTATAATCTCAGCACACAGGCAAAAATTTTCAGAATTTATTATTCTGAAAATATGACCATCACTTTTTTATAGAAAAAAAAATATGCTCCAGGAAAGGAATGCTACAGTAATATCAAAAAAGACTTATTCATAATATACATATTCATCTTTTAGGTATCCATGGGATTTTACAAGGAAAGAGCTCACTAATATAAATGGACACCCCAACTCCCACAAATCTACATTCAGGCTTGAACAAAAGAACTACTGCTAAAACAGCAGTGATATTAGCACATCTTCTTCAAAACCATTTCTGAAAAACAAAGAACCT